TGTGGGCACAGGTGACATGTTTAGGGAAAGATGGGGGGCCCAGGTGATGCGGGGGGGCCATGTGTGCCCCCCAGATTTCTGTGTCCATAGCAGGGCATGGGGCTGCAGCGGGGCCCTGTATGAGGGAGTGTGGAGTTGTTTCCCCAACTGCTACTGGGTGGGCAGAGCTGCCTCACCTCAGCAGCCATGGGGCGTGGCGCTCCCTTTCCCACCAGGTCCTGTCTGCCGGACTGCGGAAGTGGTTCCTGCCCACAGCTGGTCTGGCCAGGCTGCAGCCCCTCACCACATGGGCAGCTGGTGCCTCTGAGTCTGTGGGGGGGGGCACCGGTGGGGCACAACTTGGGGGGGATCCCCCAGTGGCTGGTCGCTAAGTGCACCAGCGGCATGGCAGTGGCGGAAGTGCCAGGACTTCCGCCACCACCGTCCCGCCAGTGGAGCCAATTTGGGGGGGAGGGGGCCACAAACGCTCTCCATGCCCCCCAGCGGCTGGAGCGCTTGCCATCGGGGGAGCACTAGCACTCTCGGGGGCAGGGGGGGATGTGCCCCTCCCTATGTGTCACCTATGCTTCACCCTACTGAGCACAGGAATCTGGTTGGTGATATGCATTAGGGCTGTGCAAATCTTGCATCCCTGATTCAATCTGGCGGAGATTTGGCTCAATTTAGTGGCCAAATCTACAAATCCAAATTGGATCAGGAGACCCTTTAATCTCCAAATTGAATCGGAACCCTCCAAATCAATTTGAAGATACAGACTCAGCTTATAAATGTTTTTTTTGTTTGTTTTTTTGTTTTTTGTTTTTTTTTCTACGTACCTCAAGGTACCAAGTGGCTTGTGAATGCTGTGATGCTGGGGTGCATGGAGTGTCCCACAGGAGCACAGGGGGCTCCCCAGCACACTCGACAGTAGACCCGGAAGTGGACCAGAAGCACTTCTGGTTCACTTCTGGGTCCACTGGGGAATGTGCAGGAGGACCTCTCTGTGCCACCCCCCACCCCTCGCCATCTCAGCGATTGCTGGGTCTGGGGGGTACCTGGGATCCCCCCCACGGCCGATTGCCAAGCTGGGGGCCCCACTGTGCTCCTGTGGGATGCTCCATCCGCCTCAGCATCACAGCGTTCATGAGCCACTCCTGGTACCTCAAGGTATGTAGAAAAAACATTTAAAGCTGTCTGGCCTAATCGCTGACTCTGAGTCAACATCGAATCTTCATATTCGGATTTGGCTGAATTGAATTGGGGACAGTGATCCAAATAGAGTCACTGTCTCGGATTCAGCCCAAAGCTGAACTGAATAATGGCCCTATGCAGTACTACGTACCATGTCTAGCTTAGCTGATGCCATTGCAGAATGGCTTATTGTTTCTTCTCAAGCCTTGTGTATTCTTGAAATAATATTGCATGTGAAGGCAGTGGTCCTTCTGTAGCCACTTACAATGCAAAATTCATTGCTCATATTTTTCCTCAGATTGAAGAGAGAAAGCTCCTAACAACTTTTAGCCAGAATTTATAGTGCATGAAATGCAGAAGGGTAATGCATCTGTCTTCTAATTCTTTGAAGTGAGCTGTGCCATCCGATGCATTAAAAATGTTTGTATTTTTGAAGTATAGAATGGCAGGTGGCTGTTGTGTACTCAACATACCATAGACATCAAAGGTAATTGTTCAAACTTAATTCAGCCCCATATTGTACATGAATTATAGTAAAGTCTTTAGTTATATGGTTATATTCTATTTTTTCTCCATCAGATACTTGTTACCTTTACTGCACAGGATCAGTTGTGTAAATTGAATGGCTGGCTCTTGATTTCTGTTGTTACTACCATAGAACTAAAATGAGGTTCCATAGCTTGCAGACCTTGAGTTGTATTGCATTAGGAAAATGCCAGTTTGAAGCAAAGGGCATGAAGATAAGCTATGAAGAAAACCTTGGGAGGAGGGAGATCTCGGCCCCTACACTGGCCCTAACTTCAGGCAAAGGATCCAGTATTTACAGCATTGATGAAAACCCCTTTTCTTGTCCTGGGCCAGGTTCTTTTAGTCTGGCTCAGTGGCATCTGTGTCTTAGCTTTGCTGCTGCTTCTCTCCAAGAGCCATAAAAGGTATTCCCTATTCACCAGAACTGGGGAAGAATGTTCTGCAGCATTGTTATCCTGAAGTGGAGAGTGTTGACCCATCTTGGACCATGGGAAATTTGGTAATCTTCAAACAAGTTTCAGATGGTGACATTAGTCACCCGAGTCCATCCTAAGACTTGGTGAACTGGTTTGCATCTCTTGACCTTTTGGAATATGACGACTTCCACACGCATTGTACCAATATACTGTGCCAGAACAATCTAAAATTAGATTACAAACAATAAAATGTTTAATGATAGCTTATGGCTGCACTTGAACTAATAAACTAGAAGGGAATGGTTACACAAAATATTAGCAATCATTTAATCTCCATCCATCTTTTTAATTTTATATTTACTTTAGTGGTTTGTATCTTTGAAGAGGGAGGAAATAGCGTAGATAAAAGATGCAATATTTAGGTAAAAGAATTTTTAAAACTGCTAGCAAAACTTGGATCCAATAAATAAATGGTCTAGGGCTGTAGTTCTAGGGCCTTCAACATCCGTGAAAGCAGCAACAGAATCTGATTTAAAAACTTTTATCCCTAAGTTGCATGGCTTAGAATGCTAGAAGTAGAGCTGCCTCGAGAGGAGAGAGCACTTTAAGGTCACTTGGAGAGTTTGGAAGCTTTCATTCTGTATTGGAATGACACGTACCTTTTGATTGTTTTCATGAGACATCATTGGTCAGTTCAGGTCTCTTGGGAAGGGACCTTAGAAACCTTTTTGTCAAAAATCTGTGTAATTCAAATTCTTTGTCTTTCATATAATTTTGTTTTCCCATAAAAAGTTGGGCCGTACATGCCACACACTGTTCATTGAAGAACACCTCATACTAATCTGTGAGTCTTGGTGCCTAACATAATATAGAGTAATATTTTTGTCATGTGTTCTGTGATGGGTAGCATTAACTTTGGCTTGGCTTTCACTTCAGAATAAAGACATCAAAATAGTTGTATCTGAGAACCAGCAATCTTCTGTCAGACGTTCACTGCTTACAAATGAGATTCAGCTCATAAAATCTGTTCATCTGTAACTGCACGCAGGATGAAAAGATGCTTGATGTCTGCAATATAATTTGCCAAAAATCTCTTGTAAAACAGTTGACTGACTAAAATAAACTGTCAAATATAAAAAATTCTTAAGACTCTTTGGGCGTGTCCACACATGCAAGCACATGCTTCTATTTGAGATGCTGCAAGTGCAGTGCAAATTTGAACCAGGGCTTTTTGCCTTGGCGCACGTGCCTGGACATGCACTTTGTTGTGGAGAAAATTGTGCCACTTGGGGCAAAATAACCCTGCCTGGCTCCTCCTGGATCTGCAGCCAGGGGGAGCTAGAGCCTGGGGCCAGCACCTGTGCTGTCCCCAGCAGTATAAAAAGCTGCCTTGTCCTGGCCCCATCTGTACAAAAAGCTGCCCTAGCAAGCAGCTCAGGGCTATTTGCTCTCAAGAGCTTCTGGGGCCCGGCCACTTGGTACCTGGGGACAGTATCCCTTGTGCCATATATTGAGAGAGACGGCAATCAGTTGGACAATGCTTTATTGGCATATTTACAATGTTAAAGCAGAGTGGAAGCCTACCAGTGTCTCTATCATCATGATAAAATAAATTCTAAATACCTATATGTGTTGCTGTGTGCTTTTCATTTTCTTTACACATGGAGGGTGTGTGCTGGGGGGATGTGGTGTTTGCAGGAAGGGAGTGGGAAGGGGTGTGGGGGAAGGCAGGTGGGTGTGTGTGGAGGGATGTGGGTAGATGTGGGGTGATTGCTGGGGGGACTGTGGGCATGGGGGACCTTGTGGGGGGCTTGCTCAGGAGGGGTGGGTCCCCTATAGGGTGCAGCCCCTGCCACAGCCCCTATCCCCCACAGGGTCACAGGCCCCCCTGCCCATGGTCCCAGGCATGTTGGAGGGCCATGCCCATGGTCCCAGGCTTGCTGGAGGGCCACTACCCCCACCCACCCAGGGTCCCAGCTCTCCCTGGAGGGCCACAGCCCCCACCCGTCCCAGGCATGCTGGAGGGCCACGGCCCGACTGCCCAAGGGCCCAGGCACTCTGGAGGGCCACAGCCCATAATTTACAGCAGGACTGGGGCTCTCTGAGCCATGGCAGCAGGACCTGGCGCGGCAAGTGGGGACCATGGGCCGAGCCGGGCCCAGCCAGGTCCTGCTGGTTCTGAGGCCTCTCTGCCGCCTGCCCAGGCCGGGTCATGGTGGCAGGACCTGGTGCGGCATGCAGGGACTGCGTGCTGCACTGCACCACGTCCTGCCACTATGAGAACGGCCCGGCCAGGCAGCAGAGGGGCCCCAAGGACTGCAGGACTTAGTTGGATGTGGCATGTGGTCCCCACATGCCACGTCCCGCCTCTGCCCTGCTGTGCCTGTGGGGTGGTGGCATGCAGTGGGACCTGGGCCAGCCCCATATGGCTCGCTAGTCTGGCTTTGCACCGGAGCGGGTCTCAGCTCCAGGAGGCACGGGTCCTGTGCACTGCCCAGAGCCCTGTGACCTGCTCCGGCGCAAAGCCAGACTAGTGAGCCGCACAGGGCTGGGCTGGGTCCTCACCCCCACAGCCCTGGAGACATCCCCCTGCCACTCCCCGAACGCCTCCACATCCGCCTGCTGCCCCTCACCCACCCACACTCATGCAATCTCCTCGCTCCTATGGACACCACCGGGGCCGGAGGCAGCAGGAGAACCAAAGAGATGCTCTGGCTGACACCAAAGCATCTCCTTTGGAGGACTGACTCCACGGCATGGTCTGGGACTGTGCCTTACTCCGCTCTTTTGCAGAGTGGTTTTAGACCCCTGGCCAGGAGTCTAATTTTCTCCCCCCACTGCAAACTTGCAGCATGGGGAACATTTTTTTTGTTCCCACACGTGCCTCTTGCTCCACCTCAAAGGCGTTTGAGACAGGGCAAGAGGCATGTGCACGCTTGTCTGGACACGCCCTTTGAGTCATTTTGGGAATAGCAATTCTAGTTGCTTCTTATGAGCTGCTAAGATTTGAGGACTTGAACTTGGAACAAGACTGAGAATAACGTCATTCATGCAAGTAGTCCAGTTGCATGTATTACATAGCTGCCCTTATAAAAGTGCTTAAAACATTGGCATTTAAAGTATCCATAGGCACTCCCTTGAATGTAGACCCTTTGTTTTCGCCAGGACTGGGTGACAAGTGAAACAAGTTCCAGTAGTCTGTCTAACTTCCAAAGGCCTTTTGTTGCCAACTTGAAAGGGAGCTAAAAGGGGGGACATTTACTTTAAGAACTTGGTGTCCTAGATTAGCTGTGTGCAGTGGGTCCTTTCTGCTATTCATAGTCAGGAGCATTCAAGTTCATTGGGCAGGGTTTTGTCTCCTGTACACAAGCTGTGTCCTGTGAAAGGGAAGAGTAAAGGGGCAGGCTGTAATGGGAGCTTTCTGCAGTGCATAAAGTCATTCTGCATGGGTTTGTAGGACTCCTCCACTGCCATAACCCCAGTATAAAGGTGGGATAGAGCCAGATCAGGAACACTGGTGACCCAAGTGATGTGGAGAGCTCCCAAAGCCATTGTACTTGTTCCAGGCACAAAGTGGTTTTCCAGCACAGTTTGCAAAGCTGGCTTAAGGCAGTCTTTCTTCTTTTTCTTTTTTTCTAATCGTAATAGTGGCCTTCTAGAAATACTTTCAGGGCTGTCATTTTCTTCATTTGGGCTCCTTTACAGTAGTCTGTGGAATGACTTGCTGGAATAAAGTGCGGCCTGACTAAAGCAATTAAAATACGGTCCATGTCCATAAGTATGATGCTGATTATGAAATTCTAATTGGATTGTTTTTTTGAAATGGCATAGTATACATCCTCATTGTGGAGACTCCCAGTAATCTAAACAATGGAGTTTATAAGGTATGCAGGTTTATGTATGGAAAAAAGTGACAGACCAAGGAGGAAGAGGCAACCAGTTAATAATACTGAGCTGGACTCCATCTGACTTATGTAGTTTTACCTAAAAAAAACTACACAAGTCTTCAGGTCATGAGGACTGTTTACAAATGTTCTAAGTCATGACCATGTACTATAGGATGTAGATAAAAAGATTAAATGCTGTTGGGAATCAAAGTAATCATCTTAATACCTTTCAGCAAAGCAAACAACATTTGGCCAAATCACTGGAATAACACAGATCAGATCAGTCTGGAACTGAGTCACTGACCAAGTGGCTGGTGTTTAGAGCACAATTTTGAGTGTACTCTGCTTTGCTAGATAGGTCCTTAAATTTTTGACTGGGTGAGCACTTGTCCTTTGCAGGTTGCCCCCTGTACAGATGGGAAATTGAGGCACAGAGTGTGTGGGCTGCGCAAGGTCGTGCAGCAAGTATGGCAGAGCAGGGAGTTGAATGTAAATCCCCAGAGTTCAAGGGAAACAAAGTTACTATTGCACCATCCTTCCTATTTGTTCCATAAAATTTGGGGTATTGGAGAGCCTCGCTCTTAGGGATTTATACTGTAACTACAGGTTTATACCAACAAAAGCAGTGTTTTTCATTCCATAATGGAAATAAGACAGAAACAATGTAAAGGGGGGAGAGAGGGAGGGAAGAAAAGCCTGTGGAATTAGTTGTATTTTGCTTTTTTATTTTTCCACATTACTTAAAACAAGAAATTTTAATAGCACTGGATTTACTTTTTACAACAAAATATTTTCATGTATTCATTTCCTGCCCATCATTGAAAAACAACAGTCACTAAACGTCAGCACCTAAATCTTCATAATACTGTTGTTTGTCCGTAGTGCAGTTTTTGTTTTGCTTGAAACCTTGGTTAGTGATTTTAAATCTATTACACTTTTCATTTAACATTCTTTATTTTTGTCAGTCAGTGCAAATCCAACAAATGATTTTTTTTTTTAAAGGAGTAAGAAACATTTACAGTCTAATGGAAGCTAGGCCATAGTTTTAACATGAAACATACTGTACAGCGTTAACATTGGCATTTGCCCATTTTAAGATAACAATATAAGCTTTATTTTTTAATAATTAATTCCTTTTTGCATATGACTGTCTGTGCTTTACGAAACTATTGGGGACTCAAATATATCCGTGAAAGAGCACAACTGTATTTTTATTTAATGTTAGATGAGATCCATATTTTTTTTACATGTTTTATTTTGGATGATAAATAGAAGTATTTCTCTTGAATACATTTTGTAAACCTTTAAAATATGGACATTTCTAACTAGTCAACATTTGAACCAGAAGCTCAGGCTTTGATGTAAATTATTGAAAGAAAGAAAAAAGTAATAAGAATATGTTTCCCTGAAAATGTATTTTAGCATGAGTAACTTCTTGGACCTGGTATTTTGTAAAAAGGTATAATTGAGTCATAAATGCCATTCTGTTCCTCAGTCAAGTATTATATTTAAGATACCTAGATCTTTTCTTTGCAATAATTATAATGTTTCTCCACCCCTTATAACAGGAACTGAGCGGGCTAAATGCTCAGGTAGTATCAATCAGCATAGTCCTATTGAAGTTGTACTGATACATGGTGGCTGAGGATCTGGCCCCTAAGTCTGAGATGCAACAGAAGTGTGATCTAAGTTGCAGTTTTTGCCACAGGAGTGCTAAAGAATTTGGACAGATCGTGTTCAATACTTTACGGCCAGCCAGTGGCTCTTAAATTTATGCTGGTACCATGAATTAAATTTTGATGGCATTTGTCATAACCAAGACGGCAGTAACAACTGTAGTCTTAAAAATAAAGATTCTATCAGATTATTTAAAAACTCTACAGCTAATTAAATAGACCAGTATCAAATATAAACTGTCTCAAGATGTACAGTAAAATAAAACCTCAATGAGATTTTAATTTATGCAGTCTTTATGGAAAATGATGTTCCTCATTTGGGTTTGCAAACTCCTGTAGTGTTCTTTAGTGTTCTGTAGTGGTATGGCATGAAATTCCTTTTAATAAATTATACAGCAACTTGCATAAAATTATAAATTGATATAAGTAATTACCATGCGTGCTAGCCATAGGGTACTAGTAGATCATAATGCTTTGCAGGTCTTTTGTTTTTTTGTTTGCTTTCTTTTTTCATTCATGTTGTGTGGAAGTAATTTAACATAGACAGGGAACAATTTGATGCTGGCAACTGTTAATGGACTAGTGGTAAATCAGTCCACAGAACATGCCGGGGGGGGGGAGGGGAATGAAGCTGTATTTCAATAAAAACAATAAAGTGCTTTAAATGAGTATCTGTTGTTCACTACATTGTTTATTTCACTTAGACACCAAAACCAACACAATGAAAGATGGTGATAGCCTAGAGTAAGTACAGCTTAACTGCTAACCTGTACTTCCATGTGAATTGTTTAGAAAAAAATGTTTATCAGTTGTGTTTCTTGTTTTGTTGTTAAAACTTAGTTGATTGTGGGACTAGGAGCGAGTTACAGTGCAGGCTGAACTTGCACAGACATAAAGAGGAGGACCATAAATATTCCCTATTTAAAGTTTCCACTTGCAAAAAAATATGGAGTTAAGAGGAAGGAAGCAAAAAAGAGCAATTTTGGAAACAGTCCATATCCAGTGTATAGTCCATAGCCAGGTGGTTTGAAATACACTGTGCAGCTTCTTGAAATTAGGAAGTGACCTCTGGGAATGTATAGAAATCTGAGAATTTATTCCAAGTCCATTGAATGACTGCTGCTATAATATGGTTGCTTCTTCCATGGCTTCAATCCACCTGAAAAAGAAAAGAAAGGAAGGGGGGAGCAGATTTAATGTTGTGGATCTAGCAAACACATTTATTTAAAACACTGGGCTCAGAGAAGAGTGTTCTGTTCTGTTCTCCTGTTTCCCCATTATAGTCCTGAAGAGGAAATAAAGGCATGGAGTTAGAGTAAGGGTCCTGGGAGCCAGGACATCTGGGTTCTGTCCTCGACTTTGCTACTGATTTCCTGTATAAACTCGAGGAAATCACATGTGCTGGATGGGTGAAGAGGGAGAGATGAAATTAAGGAGGTATGTGGAGGAAAGGGATATTTTAAACATGCAGAAAAATGAAAGGCTATATATTTTAGGTTCTAGCACTCATCATTAATTTTACAGTTACTTTAATTATGCAGTACTAGTAACAATAAAGCATGTTAAATCTAGAAATTGTTCATTAAAGAGCAAATTAAACGGCAGATACACTGGATTCATATGAGCAGTCCGTTTTACAATTGCATCTGATAGATTTCTTGGTGTGGGGCATAACTTCCTTAGTGGCAGCTGTAGAAAATCTGTTGCTGAGATGATGGACTGAGTTCTGCCTGGTGCTTTAATGTCAGCCAGGTCAATTGCATTTAATTGGCTGTAATTAGCATAAATGAACCTGTTTCTATTCTATCTTTTAATTGGGTTGCCTTCAGAAGGAAAGGAAGTGGGGAAGAAGTATGTTAGGGGAATGAAGTGTGCTGCTTGCACTTTTGACCCCGTTCATTGGTTAGTACGTAATGTGCAATTCCCCACCCAGTACCTCTGTGCTGAATTGTAATCCTCTGCTCGGAAGCTATAAAACAAGGTTTGCTTGTGGTAAAGATGGAAAACTGCATCCGTACTTCCTTCCTCCTTTTCTGGGGCAATTGTGAAACCCAGCAAAGGCAAACTCTCTGTAGCGACTTTATCCTAAAATCAATTCAGAAGGGGTAATAAGACTTTAGAAGGAGCATTTCCAACAGGGCTGCAGGCTCTTTGGAGCTGGGTATATCTTTTCAGCATGTGTGCCTACAAAGCCTATCACAACAGGGCCTCAATCCTTATGGAGTCCTTAGCTGCTACCGCAGTGGTAAGAAGGAGTGTGTGGATTTCAAGAAGCATTGACTGCTGCGGTGTAAGGTTTCCTCGCACATTGCCTTGCCAGCATCTCAAACTTGAACTTGAAGCTTCCACCTTTAGGGTTGAACTTCTCCATGACCACTTCACACAATCCACTTTAGACAACCAACAAGGGTTCCAGCTTAGTAGCAGATGTGAGTGGCCTGCGTGAGGTGGGTGTCTAGGAACCAGACTGAGATCACCAAACTATAGGTCAAAGAGAAGGTCTGATATTACCGAGGCTAAGGAGGGTGCCAACATTGAATAGTGGCACCTAGTCCCTCCCCTGCACAATCTCAGCAGCCTTTTTACAGAATTTCCTTCAGTCTTTCACAGCATGATTGCTTTCAAAAGCACTGCTTTAAAATTTATGAGCTGGTAATGCAACACTGTTAATTTACTCCCAGGAAACATCCATGAATTCTGCTTGCACTATAGAAGTAAAAGAAAGACAGCAATAAAGCCTTAATTGAATTGTAGTTTAACTATTACTGATGGCTGCAATTTTGGTGGCTCTACCTCTATTAAGGTAATGGTTTTTTTCCCCGTCTTTTTGAGATTCTCTTCTCTCTCTTTTTTTTAAAGATATAGCTAATGCTGGGAGCATAAATGCTAGTCAGGCATCCACTGTTCTTTCAGATTTTAGTCTATCACTGTGACAGTAGAAATAACTATTCAGGTAAGCAGAAGTGTCCACCCCATGGGGAAGGAGGGGATTGAACTTGGTTTTAAGAGCTTCATTTTCAGTAGTGCTGAGCACCCACAGTTTCAGTGGAACTGGAAGCTCAATAGGAGCTGCTCTGTTCAACATACCTCTAAAAATCAGGCTTAAGATACTGGTGTCCTAGATGGCTGATTGGATAGAACCAGCCCTTAGTCACCCAGTAATTTGGTTTGCAGTGGTGGTCAATTATGCCACTTTTTTTATGCATCACTATATCTCTCTACTTCATTTATGTGATTAAAAGTTTAAGTACTTGATATTTTCAAAACATTTGAAAAGTTTAAGTGCCATTTTCATAGGTTATAGTCTGAGCTCTGCCTCGTTCAGTAAATGCTGCTGTCTCAGTTATGAATGACTATTAACAATCATAACCACCCCTTGTATCTTATAAAATTTCATGGCTACCCAGGGTACTACAGCTACTCAAAGAAGTAAAAATCAAAATATGACAAAGGAGCTAGGAAGTGACAAAAGCTTCCAGCAAAGTAAAAAAGCACCCTGCCTAATAAAACACCTTCCACTGGGGTAAGTCTAATCACCACAATAGTCTAGGGAGGAAATGCTGGTCAGCTCCACACTGCAGCTCGGAGCTGGCCACTGCCTTTAACAGTGAGAAGCACGATGGCATGCTTGCCCTTGTATTCTCTGACAGCTGCGCACTTACTATGTATGCTATAGGCGTACACTATCTACCCTATCTACTTCGAGAGAACTGGGATGTTTTTCTAGGTTCTGGAGAATTGTCTTAACCCTTGACTGGAGAAAGCTTGGTTTTTCCCTCTTCAGGGAAAAAAAGCTATATAAATAACAATCCAGCAGTTCTCAGGTTCCATCTCATACCATATACAGTGCACTGTAGCAAGACTGAAAGGTTTTTCCAAGACTGTTTTGACTGCAAGAAATTCTTGCCAGAATAAACCTGCTTTCTGTAACTGAGAGAGATGCCCAGACTATATAGCTCCTAATCCACTTTTCTTCATATATAGAGTATGCTGAATTTTATAAAGAAGCTCTAAGGTCATATGCCAGTGTCAATATACTGGCAATTTGCTGTATATCTACATCTAATTTCCTTGTACTTGGAGTGTGTGTCACAGTTCACACAGAAGCGTATACTTTGTTGTGGCTCCGGCAGCTCCAGAGCTCGTGTGGTTCCTAAACTAATTGGGAAAGGCTAGATCAAAAGTGACAGGTATGCTCCTCTGATGAAATCTGTTGTGCACAAGTGAGAAAGGAACATGACAAAATTCCCCAGTTGGGTTGCTAAGTCATGACAGACAGTACCTCATTTGCTGTATATGTGTAGAGGACTTTGCCTTTGATGACAAACCACAACTTTTTCCAATGTCGTTTGCCTCTCTTACACCTGCTGAGATAGCCACTGATGGTTGATCCTTCTCCTGAAGCTGCTACCTGAAGAGCCAAGGAAACAGTGGAGAAATCAGATTTCATTACAACAGAAATTTTTCCCTCTAAAGAGGCTAGCGTGCTAAAATGGAGTATGTTATTTTAAAGGAACATATAGTTGCCTGTGTCTGCAAGAACACCGAGAATTAAAAAAAGAAAAAAGAAAAAAAGACCCAAGACAGTATAAATCTAAGCAGAAAATACAAGTATAGTGCTACTCTTACACATAAGAGAATTGGAAGATTTTTCGTAGTCAAGTTCTGTTCTCATCGATGCTGATGAAGCCAATGGAGTTATTCTGGAAGCAGAGTCACTTAGGCCAAAAATGTAGCCTGGTGCAGTTGGGGAACTGAATTGGTCATAGATTCATAGATTAAGGGTCGGAAGGGACCTAGTAGATCTTCTAGCCCGACCCCCCGCCAGGGCGGGAGAACAACAAAACCCCAAAACAAAAACGGGACTCAAATGAGTCCAGCCAGGTAGGCATCCAGCCTCTTCTTAAAGACCCCCAGGGTAGGGGCCAGCACCACTTCCCTTGGAAGTTGGTTCCAGCTCCTAGCCGCCCTGACTGTGAAGTAGTTTTTGTGGATGTCCAATCTATACCTCCTCTCCATCAACTTGTGCCCATTACTCCTTGTTATGCCAGCGGGCGCTAGGGGAAACAGCGTCTCCCCCAAACCCTTCTGGTCCCCCCTAGTGAGTCTATAGACGGTCACCAGGTCCCCCCTCAGCCTTCTCTTGTGGAGGCTGAATAGGTTCAGGTCCCGCAGTCTCTCACTGTAGGGTCTGCCCTGTTGTCCCCGGATCATGCGGGTGGCCCTCCTCTGGACCCTCTCCATGTTGTCCACATCCCTCTTGAAATGGGGCGCACAGAACTGGACACAATACTCCAGCTGTGGCCTGACCAGCGTCGCGTAGAGGGGGAGGATCACCTCCTTGGCTCTACTCGAGATGCACCTGTGGATGCACGACAAGGTCCGGTTAGCCCTGCCAACCATGACCTCGCATTGTCGGCCCATGTTCATCTTGGAGTCAATAATGACTCCAAGATCTCTTTCTGCCTCCGTGCTCTCGAGTAGGGAGTTCCCCATTGTGTAAGTGTGCTGCCGGTTCCTACTGCCCAAGTGCAGCACCCTGCACTTGTCTGTATTAAAACGCATCCTGTTCCTGTTAGCCCACCCCTGTAACCTATCCTTTTTCAACACACCTATCCTAAGGCACGCGTTACAGGACAGTGGTGTGACTTAGGCAGTTAAGCTTGGGGTTCTGTTCCTGCCTTTACAAGGGATTTGTTGCGTCCATTTGGGTCAATTACATCTCTGTGGCCGAGTTTCATTTTGTAAAATGATAATCATTGGTGAAAGGAGAATAATTCCTCACTCCACAAGGAGGGTGTGATTTTTTTTTTAGGCTTGATTCATGAATACTTGTAAAGATCTTTGGCTGGAAGGCAAAATAAAAATGCAGCATGCATTAATTAATTACAATAATGAGCAGGGCTGATACTCAGAAATAGAGTCAGCTGACAAGCGGTTTAAAAGCAATCTTTAGTAGCAGAGACACAAGGGGAGTGAATTGTATCTGTAACGTTTTGCAATAGAAAAGGTGTGCGAAATATTCTGGAGCATGTGTAAGGACCTTAGGTATGGCTTTGAGATGAAGGCTGTGATAGGACACTTCACATTAATAAACATGTGCTGCCCCCATGTGGTTAAAAGGCAATAACCACAACCTCTTCTAAATTAAAGCTGAAATCTTGTCTCTGATTTCTTTTACTCCTCATGGACATGCTAGTTGAACAGAAAACGTTGTACAATGTTTATCAAATGCCTCTCAACTCGTATGCAAATGTCAGCACATACGTAAATGTTAAGCAGCTCTCATGTTTTGGTTTCCATGACCTCCTTTCCCTCTGTGCTAGAAGATAATTACAACAAGCTCAGTAAAAGATCTGGATTGGGCTCATTTAAGTCAATATTAGATATCCATTGACTTTGAGAATCTAGGGATCATTTGCATCCTTTGATGTAAAACACAGCATAGATAGTCCAAATAATATCAGTACTACCAGGTTTTGAATCTAATGCTTAGTTCCAGGAAGGAAAGTAATACAAACACATTGGGAAAAATCTTGGCCCCACTGAAGTAGATGGGAGTTTTTCCATTTCACTTGTTAATTTTCAGTAGGCTGAGATGAGCTCTGAGAAACACAATTAATTAAAACCGTTGCATCCACTAATTGCTTTCCAGGGATAGAGTCTTTCCCTAGTGCACAGTGAATAATGGTCTTATCATAGAAATCAGCAGTGCCATCTGAAAAACAAGGACTGGAATAAGGCTGCTGCAAATAACAGGGGCCACAGCAGCTATAGGAAATCAGTTTCTTTCTGTCTTTCTTTTGTCAACATCCACTTGCTGTATACTAATTAACAGTCTCTGTAACCCATCACCCCTGTACCATCCACTACCCTGAGCTTGAAATAAGTCCTTTAAAAGGCTTTAGAACCACACATATCTTTCAAAATAGAACTTAGACCATTTGGAGGAAATGAAGTGTATGTATCCAGTCAGTTTGATCTCAATGGACAGCAGAAGCTAGTGATAGCATCAGATTGTTCAGTATTTCAACTTTACTACACCAAGGAAAAAGTAATCTCATGGTACAGGTGACTTAGGAAACAGGCGTATCCGGGCTGCATAGTAGAACAAATGATAAACACTGACATTGGATTCTACTGTTTGCTAGAGCTAGTTTCCTTGCCTTTTCTCAGGCAGGCCTTGGTCCTACCTCCATAAGAGCTGAAGGAATTTTCTTTTGCTTCTTGAAGGAAGAGTAGTGAATATTGTGGAAGACGGAGGAGAAGGCACTGCCCGAACACCTGGATGAAGTCGGAGGGAAGATCACACTTAGTGGCCGTTCTGTAATATCAGGAGAATTGGAGAAGGGAAAAGAATGGGTTAACTGGTGCATATAGTCATGTGTAGCCTGGGATGGGAAACACCACTTCAGGTTAATGCAGCCAGGAACAAGAAAATGCCAAGCCAAATCTGGCTAATTTTCCTTTAGCTACTCTGTTAAACTTCCCTGTAAGTCTCATTAGCAGAATTGATGCTCAGTGGACTTCATAGCACTCCAGGCTAATAGTCTGCATGCTACAAACACTGGAATACGTCTTGCATGAAAGATGACATAAGGAAAAAGTGTTGTATTGTGCTTTAACACTTAATGACTCTTCATCAGCACTGACCCTGCTTCTCTGCCATCTCCATTTTATTTACGTTGATTGCTTCCTAGGACACATCCATGGCAGAGTAAGCACATTCATTATTGGGATGTTCTTTCTACAGAAGCCTTTCCCCCAGGAATACAGAAGATGGTTATTTTGTCTCTAAGACATGCTCCATTAGCCCTTCAACAGGGTCTGTATTCTGTGCCATCATCTGAGTTAATATCCTTCAGAGACACCTGTGGCGATGCATATTGTCTGGAACTTCCAAATGGAGCGCGGTGCTGAACTAGTACAAGCCTGAGTTTGGAGGGACACAGGTTCAGAGATAGTTCAGGCTGCTGTGATGCCAGCACACATCTCATTGCATTAAGCAGAACCAGTACAGGGTTATTCTACAGCAGTAGCTGACATCTGAGTCACTTTATCCAAGACAGAAAAATTTAATTGTGACCACTTCTGATTAGTGAGCTCTAAGGTAAAAGGCATTTGCTTAGAAGGGGTTGTCTGTACAGAGAATCATTCCAGAACAGCAGTTCCTGATTAAATCCCTAGATACTCATCTAAGAAAAGAGTGCTAATTTTGAGTTACCTTGATTCACACGCCAAGAGTTAGTTGGGAAGAACTAGTTTAAATTTGCACTAAACTTAATCCAAATTAATTTCCTTCTGTAGACAAGCTTTTTAGTTGTCTATGCATTTTCTCTTGGCTCTTAACAATAGGAAATGCTGACTTGGACTGGAGCAAGTAGTGCACTGTCAATTACAGCCAAGTGATGGCTTAAAAAGAAAGCAACTGATGATCACCACTGTCAGTTACAAATGGCACAGTGCTATTGCTTATTACTCTATTGCAGCAAGTGATTACAGAAAAATTCAAGGCTTCTGCTCACTAAGAGGTTCTCTGCCACCTCACAGCTTGCTATTCCCCTGGACCATGCATTAGTATCACCCTTGATGCATCCCATAGCCAGGCTTGAAAGAAAAAGCTCTCAAATTGAAGCAGAGCTTGGTGTGCAGAATCTAGGTCTCTTGTTACATGAATGGTGGGTAACGTTATCATCAAACTCATCAAGGAACAAAGAAGCCTCACCTCTCTTCTTCAGTTCTGCATAGCAGCCATCACAGACTTTTGCTAGCCGATCTTTGAGGTACTTCAGGGCATACTTGTTTCTTGAGCAGTTCCGACATACAATCTGTCCCAGAGTGAACAAATACATGTATAAATATGCATTCCCTATAACCAGGGATTCTCAACCTCCTTAGACTCAAGGCATGCCTCCTTAGATTTTGTGAATTGAGGGGCCCCTTATTTCAAAAACTAACTTATAATGCTTACCACCTTGCAGTGAGGGTGGGAGACCAGACAAACACGGAAGAGCCTTAGCTGCACTTACCTGCTTATTAGGACAGTGGGAAGCTTTGCTTGCTGATTCAATTTGGTGGAGATTTTGCCCAATTTGGTGGCCGAATCTCTGAATCCAAACTGAATCAGGAGACCCTTTAACTTCTCTGAATCGTTTCAGAGACATTAGAAGATTCGGACACAGGCACAATTTTAAACGTTTTTTCTACATACCTCAAGGTACTAGGTGGCTCATGGATGCTGGGGCGGATGGAGCGTCCCACAGGAACGTGGCGGGGTCCCCAGCACGCTTGGCAGCAGACCTGGAAGTGGACCAGAAGCACTTCCGGTCCCCTTCTGGGTCCACCAGGGAGCGTGCTGGCCCCCCACCCCGCACTCACCCCACTCAGTGACTGGTGTCTCACGGGTCAGGGGGGCACCTGGGGTCCCCTTGCCGCCAATTGCCAAGCTGGGAGGTGTGGGGAGCCCCCCGTGTGCTCCCCAGTGGACCCGGAAGGGGACCGCAAGTACTTCTGGTCCACTGCTGAGCATGTGCCGCCCTTCCCCCCCAGCTTTGCAGCATTCGCAAGCTGCACCCGGTACCTTCAGGTATGTAGGAAAAACATTTAAAGCGATGCCTATGGCCAAATCGCTGATTCTCTAAATCAGCATCAAATCTTCAGAGTCGGATTTGGCCGAATCGAATCGGGGACAGTGATCTGAATCAATGAATCAAATCACTGTCCCCAATTCGGGCTGAATCCGAATGGAATATGGCCCGTTTTGCACACCCCTACTGCTTATCTTCTCATACCTTGTGGCACCCTTCAAAAGATCTCATACGCCTCAGTGTGCCTCAACACCCTGGTTGAGAATCACTATCCTAAACCAATGTATACTAGCAATAAGGGCCTCTGTGGCAGAGGAGGCAGTAGTGGAAACCAGTCAGCTTAACCAGCCTAAGGATAACTCCACCAACTTTGCTGTAACTGTTCTTATTTTATATCTTTGTAACTCAGGGAGGCTTTAGGCATACCATGCGTTATCTCCTGATGGTCAGTTTCATGGGGGTTGTATGTTTCCCAATTTCCAAGTACGCGTAGATCCCTCTGCTACCACGTTTGGCTGATAACGTGCTAAATAAAATCATTTGGAGAAGTGGGCTGATGTATCCATACAACCGCTCTGCCGGCAGAGGTAAAGACTGCTTTTGTTTGTAGAATTCAGAAATCATTGAACCAGAATTGGGTCTGGAGCAGGACTGGAATTTAAAGTCTAGCTCTAAAGTGACATTATGGGACATTCAGTGAAATTGAAAAATGCCACATCTAAGATGGGTAAAAAGAAATGCCTTTTCACATATGACATAACTAACCTGAGGAACTTGGTATCCAAAGATAATCACTGATGCCAAGAGCAAAGCAGTATTCAAAATAGGGTTGGAGGTTATGTACATAACAAGTCTCGGCAATAATGGAAAAGATTAATAAAAGGACCAAAAGCACTGAAAAAGGCTTTTGTTCCTTGGCTAATGCTTCAGGGGGTTAGGAAATGATCTGTGCGGGAAGACAATCAATTAAGAGTCTTTTGCATCTTACTAGCAGCTGTCAGAGACAGGATATTACAAAAGGTGAACCATGGGTCTGGTCCAAAATGGTAATGCCTGTGTTATTTTTGTGGAAACCAAATGTTCTGCTCACTTGTGAAGTGGTTTAAAAGTTTAGAAACTGTGTGCATCTGCTGGCCTAAGAATATGGAGCTTTCCAAATGTATCACAACTGCTTATGTAACGCAACTGCCTTTAATAGTGATGACTGAAAAACTGCTGGTTTGATTGCTTCGCTCTCCTGAGTGCTATCAGCATGTCACGTCTGAAAGCTCTCCTCAGCAGGAGATGTCTCACAACCCTCTGAGCTTGTCGAATCCCAGTCTTTTGGAATTCATCCGCAACTCGAGACTCTAACTTGGTTCCAGCCAGAGTTAATAATAATCTGAATGCTCAAAGTGGTTTTGATAGCATTTGTGAGGAGCCAAATTATTCTCTGTTGCAAGGATTTAATGCTGTTGAAGTTGATGCAGTTGCTGACAGTGTAGCAGAGGAGAATTTGACCCAGAGATTTTCAATACTGTTGAGCACGTGAGAAGCTGAATTTACATAACACTCACCTTCCCACATGCGTGGCAGTGATGGCGTCTCAGAGTGAGGGTAAAGTCACAGCCGCAGTTCATGCACATCATGACATGGGATACAGGTACCAAGGTGGGAGGCCTCTCACCCAAAGGTATTCCCAGCCTTTCCCTTAGCTTCAAACAAACAAAATAAATACACAAACAGTTCTACTAACACAGCTTTCCAGCACCGGCTGCTGACCCAGTATTTCCCTTCCGCAGCCTAAATTCTGCCAGTCAGTCCAGCTCATTCTTGACATATAACCCTCCCATCATTCCAGTCCTGACTTTCTTTTTCCTCCTGAAGAATCATAAAAGGTTTGTGAAAATTTTTAGACATGGCAGCAATGAGATGTAACCACTTCTGGCTTGGAAGCAGCAGCCAACAAGGAGACAGTGCACTGCTAACAGTGAGGGCCACACTCACAGCTGGCATAAATTAATGTCACACCACTTTGTATCAGGGGAGGATCTGAGCCACTACGTATATGACTGAAAGCACCAGGTCCAATCTCATATTCTTATGAAAAGCCTTCTCATATCTTGAGTATCCAGGAAGAGCCAATGACTTTTTAGGTCTTAATGAAAAACTCCTGATCCCAACAAAATCTATTACCGTATACTCACTCTATCTCACCATGAAGAAAGTCTGAGTTGATTATTCTACTGTTCACTGGGGGTAGTTTTATGAAAGGTAGGAGAGAGAATGTAGAAGACGACTCATTTTGCTTGTTATGCAAGCTATGATCTAGACCCAAATCTCCACTGACAGCAACAAACTGACTTTGAATTCAGCCCTATGTGAGTGGATCCAGGTTTGTTGCATGCTTTCTATCAGCAATCTGCATTCATTGCCCAATTTTAAGAGCATGTTTACTGTTCACTTTTATTTTATACAAGCAAGATATAAGAAAATTATATGATATCATTTTCATATATATATGAAATATATATGAGAAAATTAGATCCATGCTGGAAAAAGGAAGAGAGGAGTCAGTCATTGCAAAAGGCTTTGGGTTCTAATTCATGTTTCTCTTATACCAAGAGATATAAAAAGCAGAAGAGTGCAAATAACTGATTCTTTGATTGGTTGACTGGACCAAATCAAATTTACTGAGTTGACGGACAAAGTCAAAATGAAAACTTTAAACAAATATTTCATTTCAGGTCACACAGATATTTGATTATTTTTCTTGTTAAGCATTAATTAATTATAAACTAAACATGGGTAAATTTAGTCTCAAACAGTTATTTTAAATGGAAGCATGTCATAAAAAAAATGGCTTTCCTAATTCCTTTTCAGTTTTTTTTTTTTTTTCAACTGCCACTGTTTCCTGTCAATTTGTGAATAGTTCGTGTCAGTTTGAAACAGCAATTTCTGGCCAATAGCTTATTTTCCTGGAAAAAACAAGTCACTCAGTTCTAACTGGGAGTATTGCCACTGAAATCAACAGAGATGCACTGAAACATCAGTCGCAAGGTTAGAATTAGACCCTTTTTGGTGGGGTTTTTAACAGTGATGATTTTGTGATTTCATGACAAAGTAACACTGAGTGGCATTGCTTTCTCATTGTCATTTACCAGGCATATAGATATTTTTGGATAGCATCCAAATCAGTCATCAGAAGGAGCTAACTCCTGGTTTTCTTATTCCAGCAAAACTCCCTTTGATTTAGATGAAGCCCCCAGAATGAAGTGGAATTGCCAGATTATTACGATTCCAGAGGAGGTCTCAGCCAGCTGCATATTAAATGTACTGTGGGGACCTTTGTAACTGGGCTCTGGGATGGGGATTTACATAAAAATAATCAAAATGCTCCTCCATTAGGAACTACTTCCCCCCCTGCTTTTATCTGTTCAAGTAGTTCAGCAACCTCTTGAGTAATACCAGGACCTGCTCTTACCTCAATGCTGTTGTGAAAGGCAGATGTATTGTGAGCTTTGTAGTCATCTGGAAGGCTTCTGCTGATGCAGCTATACCACTCATCCCTTTCAGAGCATGAGCTGTAGAGTGAAATACAACCACACAATCAATGCCAGGTGCTGCAGTGATGGAATCAATTCATTTCTGTATCAAAAGGGAAGGTTTCAGTCTATGGACACTTTGCTTTCCCCTCCTCTGTTGAATTATTGCTCCTTTGGCTGAGAACGAAAAGGTAAAACACCAGATTTTGGATGTTTCTGATGGGACTGGCACCACATTTAGGATATGTGAAATGCTATGAACAGAATTTGGAGTAGCTAGAGTTCAGAAATTCTCCAGAGTGGTCTATGACCATGCTGTGGACATTAAACTCTGACTTAAACTATGGAGATTTAGCTCTACACCAGGAATGGCAGAATGAAATGTCTCTTATATCGCATCTGTACTGGCCGTTCAGATTAAGCAAGAGAAGTGCATTCTGGCGCCAGCTAGTTTCTGCATGGCCTCAGTGCATTCAGCTCAAGGTAAAAACATTGTATATTGTTGCTTGTGATCTCTAAAGTTGGTTGATTAGATGAATGGGAGCACTGCATGCTGGCTAATCTGCGGGCTGCAGTTTATGATAAAGAGAAGGATATCTAATTTGGCTGTGCAGAACTGAAGCCACAGTCCTCAATCCTCCTGGCAAGATACTAGTGCAGTCTTTTGATAAGGAAATACTGGCTTTGTCTACATTAAAGAAGGTAGTCTACTGTCCTGTGATTCTCCACACTGACCACTAGATGTCACCATTGCCCCACACAAAACAGGTAGCCCGTGCATTTTTCTGCCAGTCCAGCTCTCCAGTTTGTCACCAAGGGCTTGACCAGAGAGTCTGCCAGCTCCCAGAACAAAGCCGAATAGCTAATGCTTCTTGTTTTGCAGATACAAAAATCAGTACCCATTCCACTGGTTACCTGGCCTGCCACTGCTCATTTTCCTGCTGAGACACATAATTGTGCACCATCCAGGGTGGGAAGAGTAGTAGCCAGTAGCCACCTGACTTAAGTGAATTTGTGTCAGGGCAAGGGCCATTTGTAGGAACCCCTGCAGCATACCCACTGGCAATCTGGCTTCCCAACTGTAATCACCTGTGATAAGTTCAGCGAGCACCAAACTCACTTGCAGAGAACCAGTATGTCAGTGGTTCTACGTGGGTTCAAGAGAGGATGTGCTGTATTGCCCATCTCACCTGATGCAGAATCCTGGTTACTCTGGGTGTGAATCCCAAAGGGTTCAGCGTATGCTGTCCTCTACGAGTGATGCCAGGTGCTCCCATTAAAGCTAAGTGCTCTTCCCACTAGGACTCCCCATAAAATTAGTGTTGGCATTAATGCCAGCTGCTTCTCGGCTGCGATTTTTCTCAGGCTGAGCTCAGGAAGGACAGCAAACAAGGCCTCTGAGAACAATTCATCTCTTGTGGTCTTGGGGGTAGGGGGAGGAAGCACGAGTTGTTCAGTGACCCATAGCTTGGAATCCCTATGAGCTCTGAGAGGAAGCCCTCAGCTGTGAAAAATACCAGCCTTTGTAAAATACTACAGCTCTGCTGGGGCAGTGAAGGCCCAGACAGGTGTATCTGCATACAGGTGTGCAACATCTGCATGCCAAGGGAATAAGACACTAGATCAATTAATTGCCAAGACCTACATTACTGCTCAGTCCTTACCACTAAGAAAAGCCAACTTCACTCCCCTCCCCTCCCCTCCTTCCAGTGTTTATCAGAAATCCAGCTGGTTTGAGCTGGAAACATAACACCCGAGATGCCTGAATTGGCCAGCCTGTCACCTAAACAAAGCATCACTAGGCTACAGCCCCAGGCTCCAAAGTGTTAACAGAAGTAGCACCGTCATAACTTTTAACCTCTCTCTTGGCCCCCCAAATTTAAATCACTGGAGGATCAAGACCTGGCTTTTTTAAAAAAGCATGGTTGATTTAATGATGTGCAGTAAAGTCATTTTGGCAAGGATGGTTCACTGGGGATGATCTGCCAATAAAAAGCCTAATCTCTAACTGGCCCTTTTCACCTACTCTCCATTCCATTAAACATCTCTAGGCAATAATCACAGTTTGTTATAGTGCAGAAAGTGCAAGGAAAACATGTGGCTGCTGGCTTGCAAGATGAATTATGTCAATTGGCACTGACCTCATCCCAATTAACTCACTCCCCGATTGTGTGAGAGCTCAGAGGATTTTTTTGCTGAAGTTTTGGAGGCTCTGATATACAAACCACAAACTCCTGGATTGCCGCGCAAGGCATCTGACAAAAATTGCTGGGATCTAGCATGGTGTTAAGCTGTCAGTCACCAAGATGGAAGCTCTTTTGTTTGCTTTTACTGTTGAGTTTCGCTAACGAGAAATAGGGTTGAATTGTCACTACGCTTTCCTGGGCAGCAGGGAATACCAGTGCTGCATGGATTTTAAGGTATCTCTGGTACTGGGTTCTGGTACTGATCTCAATATCATGACTGCCTCTGCATCTACCTGATGGGAGTGTCACACCGAGGGACAGCGTTCTCAGTTCAATTTTATGTGGGCACCACATGGTTTCCTTTCTGTCTCGAGAGAGTTTTAAAATGCAGGTGAAGGGACAGCAGAATGGCTGCATGCTCAGTACAGTCACCTGCTCCCTGCCATCTGAAGAACCCAGCTGTCTGCATGGGTCATCTTTAATGGTAGTTATAAGAACTTCACGTACTTAACACTGCCATTTCTGACCCCGCCCTCTTGACTAATCATTGTTTCAATGCATTTCCTGCGTGCTCTGTCCTGGCTGCTTTTGCCAAGTCTTCTGCTCCTCTTGTTTCATACCAGGGCAAAGGTATGAATGGAACAGTCAACATCTGCCTTTTTCTGGGGTTCCTACCCTCCCAGTGGGAACAGAGCCATGGAAAACATGGTGCTTCAGAGGCACAAGACCTACAATTTCCCAGTGTGCAGGGGAGTGAGCATTCCCTGAGGAGCGCAGACTGTGCTCGCCCTTATGCAGCTGGTTGGCTTTGCCAGCCACATAAAGAAGCATTAAACTAAGGGCTTTGCCTGTTCCCTGCTGCTCCAAGGGTTACCGTACCCTGTAGCCCAGGATGTGCCAGCAAGGCCTTTATTTATAGTTAGTTCCAGCATGAGCAAGACAAGGAGGAGGAGGCTTCTCACACTCGGTCTTTCTCACTGTGGTTAGTCTCAAACTAGCTTTATTATCAAAAGGGCTATCTCAGCTTCAGGCCCTGACACTAAGGGTGGCTGAATACACACAAGTCCTCCTGGGATGACTGGCTTAGCCTTTAAAGAGCTCACAAGCTGGATGCCAGCACAAAGAGAGTAATGGAGGATTTGAAAATCAAGGCAGTGCACCTAGTACACTGCAAACCAGTCTTTGTCTTGACACAGTAGCTTCATCTACACTCATGATTCACAGTACAGACCACTGCACCCACACGTTTGTTTTTGAATGACATTGGGTGCCTTTCTGGGCATTGCATGGGCATTCAGCACTGATAACCAAAAATCTCTGACTTTTTCTGAATATTTGGCTGCAAAAGGTACTCAGTGGAAGGGCTTTGGCAGGATTCTGAGTACTGGGCACAGACAGCAGATGCTCTTCAAAAGAGGAGGATTTAGATCTGAATAAGTGTGCCAGAGAAAACACCCTCCCAGCCTCTTAGACATTGGTTGTGTTGTGCATGCTGTGGGGGGACACCTGCTGCTTCCAGCCATGCTGTAGGTGGAGACTTGACATGGGAACCTTAGTGCTCAGAGCTTTGATAACCTCATCAGCAGGATCAGTTGTCAGCAAGACCACATTATTTTAATATTAAATTATGGCCTGCAAATCAAATGCAACCTTTCTCATTGTTTCTGATCAGTTAGCATCGAATTCGCAAGATGCTTTCTTCGTTAAAGCCCCAATGTCTGCTCTGTTTCATTGCTCAGAAATTGACATGCAAACTCCTGCTGCCTCAGCATGTAATCACAGGACAGCGATCACTCTTCCTGATTGTGATCACTACTGAGTTGGCCTCAACTCATTAGAAAATTCCTTGAAACAAAAAGATCCCATTACATCCTCAGTAAAGTTTAATTTCTGTTCTGTCAATTAAATACTATTAAATCTATTACGTGGAATTGGCTAATTACTATTTTTTGCTAGCCCTCTGGTCACCCTCATGATGGGAGTTGACAAGTGAAGTTATAAAAGGGTGGTAGACAAAGTTGTATGCTCAGTGTGACATGGAAAAAGTTATAAAAGATCAAGGAAGAGGGCGTAGGCTTATTAGAATAGATTTTCTACTCTTCTCTCCCTGTTTAAAATGTTTTCAAGTGCTGAGTTCCAGCCTTTTACTCATTATAAGTGTTGAATTAGTTGTATTTTATGAGCCTTGTATTTAAAATGAATGCCCTCTTTATAATCAGGCACTTGGTCATTATCTCTCACAATGGCATGGACTGAAATGGAGTTTAAAAATAATGGGATTCCAATTAAGTCCAGGGCTGTGGTTGGACTTTCAAGAGATGTGGCTAAAATAAATACCCTCTGTTGTGGCTGGGAGGGACAGTACCTTGCTGACAGAGTGAGACAGTGTTCGGCGTATTCAATCTTCAGGACATTTTGGGCTTTTTCAGTCACTGGGCGGCTGACCTGGAAATAAATTACATGTACACAAAGTGCAGGTGAGCCAAGCTACCATGGTGAATGCATGGCACAAGTTTGGATGCACAGAGATGAATGAAGCCCCCCCCTGCTGGAGTGTTAGCCTTCCCTCTGTAGCATTTGCAGGGTTCTCAATGCTAATGAGAACACAAAACTCACCATGCCGTGAAAGGGGTGGAATATCAGTAATGCCTATGTTATGATTTTCTCTCCATATTATTGCTAGTTTGACTATAGATGCTGCAATGATGTGGCGAGAGAGAGATAATTTATGTTTGGCCCAGGATAAAGATAGGCAATTTTATATATATATATATATA